TATGATTTAAAGGATATAATGTAAATAGCGCATCAACTCTTGTAGTTCTTGTAGGAGATCTAAGCAACACTTGAGCCGCACACAAATATGTGTGCACACTGCAGATTTCTTCCTTAGAAAAATTGATGAAATCGTCTTTGTGTGTGGCACAAATCGGGCACGTCAATGGCGGGCAAATTGCAGCGGCTACAAAGACGACAATCTTCTCAAGAGCTGTTGTTAATGTTGGGGCACAAATGCTTTCTGAGAGCAGCTAGCAACTTGGATGTGCCCCCAAATGCTGGCGACTCATTCAACCAAGTGGCACAAAACACATAAGAAGTGAAAGAAGTAAGCGATTTACTCAACGTTTGCAATCGACTGCACAATACTCTAAAATGATGTGCTATGTTCGAACAAGTTCGAGCCCGATGTTCCAATTCGCTCAAAGTTGCAAAGAATATGATGAACCGAGGTTCGAACCGCGAACTGTGTGCGTTGATGTGGAAAATTCGCGTGCTGAACTTGATCTGAATACAAAATATTGGCCCCAACCGTAAAAAGAACTAGCCAGTTTTTTCTTTGGACTGCAGCGATTTGTTACACAAAACAAATATACGCCTTTGCACTTTTTTTTACAGTGTATAATCAGCGCCAACGATGCAGTCGGCAGGACATTTCTCTTGATTTGCAGGTCAATTGGGCTGCAGACAGCAGTCGGTCACTGTCCTCGTTCACGTCAGCGTTCCCGTTCACATTTTTCCCCCCAGTTGGCAATACGTTCTGGGCCAGGTCCGAAGTGCCCGTTGAACTGCACTCAACTAAAACGTAACGGTAGAAAAGAGCCAGTCAGTCGTCAGACAGTCTGTCAGTCAGTCCGTCAGTCAGTCAGTCAGTTGGTGAGCACTCGAAGTGCGTGCAACGTTTGTCAAATTGCAAACTGGCGGTTGCCACTTTCTGTTCCCATGCCCAACAAGGGGGCCCATACCGATCCCCATATAGCCGCAACCGGTAGCCGCATCGCCAGCAGTTGACAAAACCCAACCAAGCAACCAACAACAACAACAACAACGATAACAACAACATCAACCGCAGCATTTGTAATGGAAATGGAAATTCCTGCATTGAAATCTCGTTTTATATGCTTTCTTGTTGTTGCCGTTTATGACTGTTTTTATACCCTTACAGTGAGTGGCATATTATTGAAACTAACTAAAGGAAGGATTCCACTTCAATCCTTTAAGCATATGCTAAGCTAAATAGTTTGGGCCAATTCCCACTTCTAGTCCATACGAACAGCTCTCTCCGATTAAATATGGTATAGTTCCTTCATCGAGTAACTAAATCATATAGTTGCCATAAATCTTGCCAATTGATCTGTTCTTTTATGAACATTTTTATATATATTATATGCCATTGTCAACCCTAACATGATTGCATGCTCCTTACATATGATTAAATCTTATTAACATTGGACTTATATATCGTTTAGTATCCATAGGAACCGGAATCGGTAATAATTCCAAGGTCTTTGCCTAGAAATTTATTGCAAATGAGTTATAATTTTGTTAGGGTATTTTATCTTCGGCCTTTGAAAGTCTATAAGTTCTATCTTGTCCGACTGCAAGCGACATTGCCCATCAGTCGTCGTCATTGTCATTTTTGTTGTTTTTATTGTTATTTTAACTGTTGCACTTTTGTCCACGTTGCATTCTCCACTCCAAGTTTTCGACTGAATTGTGTCCATTATATAGTTTTTCTCAATTCACGTCACGATAAACGAAATACCACCCAAAAAGCGAAACTCAATTGCAATCAGGAAATGATATTTTAAACCTTTTTTTGTTTTGAAGTCTCATTTTACCGGTTTAACACAAAAATTGTATGTCTGTTGGGGATTTTTCTGTGTTAGAGACTCTACGGATTGATAGCAAAATCATATAACTATAATTATTGTAATACATGCGATAAATTAGACACTAGTTTTTCTCATTACGTGTTCAATTCCGTCATTGAACCGACCTTATCGACTATATCAAAATTAAACTTTTTCTTAATTGGATTTCTGCTAATTCAGAAGCAACAAAAATGCCAATTCTTCTTATTTGTCAAGTTGTCTACTTTAAACAATCAACAACAAATGTTTGTTAAAAGATAAAAAGAGAATAAATGAGAATAATAAAAGAAACTGAAAGTTATTTTGTTCAATCCTCAAAATATTTTATAGATTATCTTTATTGTTTTCATATTGATTCGGGGTATTCCGTTGTTTTCTATTCCTGCTCTTTATTTTTTTGTACTTAAAATATTTCGTTTTATCTGATCGTTTTTTAATTTTCGAAAATTAAATTTAACTTTTTGATCCACAAAAATCTCGCTTAGATACGAGTTTTTAAGTTAATTGTACTTAAACATTATTGCTCCAGGCCAAGTTTGCGTGTTGGAATGCAATTGTTCCAAATCGTTAATTCACATTTCGCTAATAGCAAAAAAAAAAATATTTTACATGTATTTTTTTTTGTTTTTAGCATTTTTAGCGTGTCATTGGCAAAAGTTGCTAAATATAGCTCTAATATTTCAAGCTGTACCCGCTAAAAAATAGCATAAAATTGGGTAAAATGGAACTTTGCAAGGGTATGTAACAAGCAAACCTTTTTCCAAACGATTGTTAAATAAATATGAACGTTATTTAACAATCAATACTGTGTAAATTTTAAGAAAAAGAAACATCTTATAAATAGGTCTCGGAACAGAGTAAACAGTATCACTTAGTCGGGCACAGTTGATAATTGACATTTAATAGTGAATTTGCGGTTCAGTTGCAATCTAAACTAAAACATTTATGTTATATTATATATGTAGCTATGAAAATTCAAATAGTTAACTTCAAATTAAATCATTTGACACAAATTAAGTAAGGAACTAAATTTCCGGAAACATGATAATTGTTTAAAATTGATAAGAGTTTGAGAATTTCACACTTTAAACCTTTCGTCGTGAGTGATTTATTGATATTCATTGATTCTTAATATAAATTGTTTATCCGCAGCTTTACCCGACAAACAGGGCGAGCCTTTCTTTGATCACAGAAACGATTATACATATGTATGTATGTATGTGTATTACACGAACATCAAACAAGCAAGCAGCAAAAGGCAACAACAACAACAACAACAACAGCAACAAATACCTAAGCCAAAACGAGATTAGAAATGGACAACGAAGTTCAAGAGCACAAACAAGCGTGTAGTTGTTAATGGAGCCACGCGGGGGTCGGCGGCAACGGCGGCGTTGCCAATAGTGTGTGAAAAAGGGTCAAAGAAAGCAAAGAAAAGGGAACGTATTGAACGTATGACAAAGGGGAAAGCACAATGCATAAAGCATTTGCAAAACAGTATAAAAGCAGAAGCAGCGGCAGAAAATCAATTTAAATTGAATTATACAATAAAAAAATAAACGATTATTGCATGCAAAGAATTGAGAAACGAGCTCAGCATTGAGCGAAAGAACTGAAGTAAGGCATACGAAAACTGAATGAATGAACGCGAATGAGTAAGTAAAAAGCTAAATAAAGACAAGCTGTCGCTGCTGCTGCTGCTGCTGCGACAGCGGCGGCTGCATAAATTAAAGATGCCGCAATTTTGTAACAATTTGTAAATGCAGCAGCAGCCGCGCAGGCAACAAAAAGGAGATGCAAATATTGTGGTGTGGCCAGACTGTCTGGGGCATTTTTTTTTTATTTTTATTTTGGGCCAAACAAATTGCTGATAATGTTGGTGGGGGGGAAAAGTGATAGACAACCTTGACGCACAGCGTCAGGTGCGCTGTAACGGTAATTGAACGTGCATACATTCACGCAAGCACACATACGCAAAATCAACAACGTGCAGCAATTTTGATAATTTGATTTAAGTCAAGCAAAATACAAATTTAGTTGTCTCGTCTGGTTGGTTTGTACTGTCGCTCAACTAAACTTGAATCCGGTTTCTTATTTTTTTTTTGTCGGGATTATAAACAGAGGGTTGCATTTGAATGTGTGCGTGCTTGTGTGTGTGTGTGTGTGTGTGTGTGTGTCTGTATGTGTGTAATAGTGCCTGTGTTGAAAGGATGAAAATACTATTGATTGTTGTGACCTGCACATTGTACTCACCTTTTTCTATAAACTCGCACTTGTTTAATTCACTGCTGTTGGCGCAGTTTTGTTTAATAAATACACTGCATTTTGTTAAATTGGACATACACACATGCACATACACATATACCGTCGCGTAATCCTTACACCAACAATGCGCGCACACACCGTTACAAACACTTAACAGACTTGTTTTAATTATCAAATAATTTGAAGCTTTATTAGGAGGACCGTTAAATGAGCGGCTTAACAAGCGTTGTTTTTGTTAATTAAATGTAAACATAACGCTTAATCAATTAAAACGCGCTGCGCGCACTCATTTCGGCCGCTGTTGTTGAGCAAGACTAAGCGCGAGACTATTGGACAGTGTGACCGTGCAACGCAAACAGCAAAAAAGCAAACAATTCGCAAATGATGTAAGAACTATCGATGCATCGCAATTACAAATATCGAACAGCACACCATAAAGTAATCGAGTATTTTGACGGTTCAATTAGAAATTTCAAATTTTCAAAGATAACATTAACATTAATTCAAACCATGAACATGATTTTAAAGTAATACACGAAAATACTTAGAACTATGTTTGTTACTGTCCTCATGCCCAATTACAAATATGAAGTTTAACCAAATTGTTTTAAAACTGTGGGTAATTCCATTACCACTAAGAATAACCCAAAGGGGAGTTCATTGCCGTCGCTTAATAAACAAAAAATCAGAAAAAACAAATCAAGCCAACACACTAATTGACAATTGTTAATTATAGACAACGTTTGAATTCAGCTGAAACGAACTACATGAGCTGATAACAGAGAGCTTTGATAATGAAGACGTAAAGTGCAAGTTCGAGACTGTTTGATCAAAATGTTTCTGCCCAGCGAAACTCCAGTTACGTTGAATCAGCGACGCCATGCGGAACATAGCACCAGTTGTTGCTCTAATATTTGCAGTCTTTTGGGCTGGCAGCGAGGCGGCTGCCCAGCGTCGGCCCGACGGACGGATCGTCAATGGCCGGGAGGCCAACGAGGGCGAGTTTCCCTATCAGCTGTCGCTGCGCCGCCTCACCGTGCACATCTGCGGCGCCTCTGTGCTGGACGGCAGCTGGGCGATAACCGCCGCCCATTGCATTGACGGGCACGAAAATCAACCGCAGGAGTTCACCCTGCGGCTGGGCAGCGTCAAACGTGCCAGCGGCGGCAGCCTGATGCCTGTGCGTACGATCTACAAGCATCCCTCGTACGATCCCAGGGACATGAACTTCGATGTGGCACTGCTGCGCACCCAGCCTGGCGCCTTGACCATGGACCCCAAAGTATCGCCCATCGGCTTGCCGGAGTCGGGCGAACCGATTGAGGAGCATCTGTTTGCTGTCGTATCCGGCTGGGGCTATATGAGCAGCACGGAATCGGTGCTATCCTCTGTGCTAAAATACACAACAGTGCAAACGGTTAATCAGGCAAAATGTCACAACGATTTGAGATATCATGGCGGTGTCACCGAAGCGTGAGTAATGCGAGATACGTCTCCAAAATATCCAATTAATAATGAACTGTATCTGTATCTGTATCTGTTTGTGTGTTAGCATGTTCTGTGCGTCGGCACGTAACACGGATGCCTGTCAGGGTGAGTAGTTGTTAAAGAAGTAATACAATTATTATTAGTTACATTTCATTTCTTTTTTTTACTTTTAGGCGACAGCGGTGGCCCACTTACCGCTCAAGGCAGACTGATTGGCATTGTGTCCTGGGGCGTAGGCTGTGCTGGTGGGTTTTTAGCTTTTGTTTTTTATACATCTTTGTATACCCTTTAATTTGCTTGCAGATCCCTACTATCCGGGTGTTTATACGCGCCTGTCACATCCATCTATCAGGCGTTGGGTGCGCTTGCTAACCAAATTGTAAATTTAATTGCGCTTTGACTGCTAATCAAACCTAATAAATACATTCAGATCTATTTAATTGTTTGCAATCGTTTTTACTCACTAAGTACTCACTTTTAAAATGCGCGCACAACGCGTTGCCTGTTATCGATAGTTATGTGCTACGCTTGCTTGCATTTGGCACATCGCTAAGACCACTTCTTATTGGAAAATTTACGCACACATCGTTTGGGCTGCGTTTGTGCTTGATTGAGACGGTTTTATTTAGAAATAATTTATAAATTTATTTGCGATTTAAAGTGCACTTGAACGAAACGAATTGTGCAGACAAGCAAAACACAAGCGCACAATACAACAAAAGAAACTGTCGGCACAAAGGCAAAGCAGCTGAGTGGGAGTGGCAACGGGCGTTAGTTGGCGGCGCGCATTTCTTATTGGGGTAAATGCAAATAAACCAACTAACAAAATAGATGTTTATAAATAAACCCAAAACAACAACAACAACAATTTGTGTGTGTGTTTGTGGATTTAGCAGCAGTCTTGTGGTGAATGTGGTGGCGCTGGTGCTGGCTGTGCCTGAAAATGATCTATAAGCTATTCTGCTGTTCGGTCAGCCTCATATTCTTCTGCTTCAACGTACTTTGGTTCTTCTGCAATTTGGCCATACCATGGTGCACACTGACCCTGCTCATCATTTGTGTGGCTTCCAAATTCGTGAAGCTACAGCGCAGCCCGAACGAGAAGCGTTTGCTAAGTCTGCTCAATACGCCGGACGACTGGCCCAATTATTGGCCAATTGCGAATCGTGGCGCCGGCTACGATGCGCCCGAGAACTCGCAGGCAGCTGTGAAAAAGGTGAGTGTTAGTGTGCGTGACGTCAGCGCCAGTCGGTGGTTGATTTTCGGGCAAATCAAAAATCAATAACATCCCCACTTAAATGTTTTATAGTGCCTTGCACGTGGCTACCGAAATGTCCTGCTGGATGCCAGCATAACGGCATGCAGTGAAATTGTTATTGCCAATCGACTGATTGTGGAGCGTGCCGGGCTAACGGGCAGCCTGTCGCACCACACGCTCCATGAACTGCAGCAGCTTAGCATCACGGAGCAGCATCCCATGGGGTACGTTTAACCTAATCTCAAAAATACAGTCACAAGCGAATATGCAAATCCTGCATTATAGCTCCCAATACGACAGGGAATCCGTGGCGACGATTAAGCAACTGGCGGAATTTCTGGACGAGCAGAATATATCGCTCACATTGTTTTTGCATCTGCAGGACACCAGCGCGATCATGATTGATCAGCTGCAGAAATTTATGGCTGCGAATGAGACATTTACGGAGCGCACCATTGTCGTCAGTCGCTCGCCGTTGGCCATTTATCAGGTACAGCAAAACTTAGCTACAGTGCACAGCCGTTATGGTGAACTTTTAATTATATTTGATTAACGTTGACAGCTGCGCAAATTGAGGCCCGAAATCATTTGCGGTCTGTGGCATGAGAGTTATTTATCACTGTCGATACTCAAATCATCAACGCTTATTACCTCTATTTATGGCGCAATTTTGCGTAATATAATTGCACCTGTAATTGGTATAAGTGTTGTTTTTCTCAACAAGGAGGAGTTCAATTTGTAAGTTTCACACTCAATTTATATTAGCTAACAAACCTAATTTGATTTTTTAATGCTAAAAAAAACGGTAAAAGTTGTTTTAAATTTTGGCAACGCCCCAAAAACGAAGTTGGCAAAGCGGTTCGATAAATTTGTAAAACTCTGTTGTTGTTTTGTTTTGTACATATTCGTTGATCAAGGTGGCAACACTGCAGCTGATTATATTTTGCATGCCAATTAGCCGTTACGTGAGAAAATCAAATCAAAGTTTGGCGAAAAACTGACCCAAATTTATATATTTGTACATATTTTATTACATCCGAATTCTTTGCAGGCACATTGGCGATCTCTGGCGCAATGTGGGCGTGCGTCCAATTGTTTACATGGTTAATTCGCCCAACGAGAAACGCTATTTTCAGAAAACAATGAAAACGCAATACCTCACGGACTCATTGCGCTCCGAGCCGCATCTCTTGATGAAAGCCTAAAAAGCGAACAAACATTATTTCAAGATAAAAGCAAAACACACGCGCGCGCACGCACACACACACACACACACACTAACACACAAATCATTTGCATTTACATTTATATGTATAGATTCTGAGCACAGTTTGCTTTTAAAGTTGTTTAATTTCATTTGTTGTGTGCCTAAAGTGAGTTCTTGAATACTTAAAAGCTTTTGAAAGTATTACCCAGTAAAATTGAAGCTACTTTTATACACAAGATACGTATTTATGTTTTATGCTAAGTTGATTATGCTTTATTTTATGTAGACGCTATTTATGAGGCGCAGGTGCTGCAATTTATATTTGCTACACAATTCCCACACGTCCAATTATTTTTATTGAATAATTACATTATTTATTTATCGCTATTTCTTGTTATATATGTTTTTGATATTTCTTTTATAGTATATAGAATTTCATATGCTTTCATAAAACTAACAAAAGAAAACTCTGCCACATTATGTTCTCAAGCCTTGTGTATTAAATATACATACATACATAAATATATATAAATAACTTTTATAGGCAGCTTTTATATGCGAACGTTTACTCTAATATACGCAACATTTTGTAGTCCCTTGTTATTTAGAGCCCACAGCCCAAATATAAATATATATATATATTTATACACAACTAAGCTTGTATAGAAAGACACAATCCGAACTACTTAAACAATAAATATTCTTATGTATTTGGATGAGCACAAGCTAGAACGAATTAGTTATACGATTATACCAAAAAGCAAAAACCATTTTATAACGATACGGCGGATTTGTGTGAAGAATAATTATAAAAATGCAATAAACGAAAGTAAAGTTAATCGTAAGCCAACCATTGTTTTTATTCTTTAAACTTTAACTGTGGGAATTTTGCAAGGCAAGGAGTCCTATTGAAGGACACGGTATTCAATCTCGGGAAATTTTGGACTGACCTCTGGATTACCTTCATTCCGAAGGCATTTGCGGTTACCACATATTATCTATGGATGATCTACCATTAAGTAATTACATCAAAAAATATATTCTAAGGATTATAAACATAATTTAACTTTATCCGCTCTATAGATTATTTCCCCACTCTTGAGATAATCAAAGTACTTACCATTTCGGAGGATCAACCAAAGCTTAAGTGATTATATCAAAAAATATATTCTGGAGAATATAAGTATAATTTAACCTTATCCGGTCTATAGATTATTTCCCCACTCTTGAGATAATCAAAGTGTTATCTACCATTTCGGAGAATCTAAAAAATATATTCTGGAGAATATAAGCATAATTTAACTTTATCCGCTGTATAGATTATTTCACCACTCTCGAGATGATCTAAGTATTATCTACCATTTCAAAAAATATATTCTAGGGAATATAAATAAAGTATTATCCCTTGCAGACAAGCACCTTTTCAACATTCAAAAATTTGCCATTTCATTTAAGGTATTTTTTGAAATTTTCTTTATTAGTTATTTGATCTTTCTGAGAATCCTTACAGGGTAAGTTATTTATGTATATCTATATATATATATATGTATTCATATGCATTCTTTTATGTATTATTATTATAACTCATTTATGTATGCTTGAGCGTGTGTCTTTTATCTTAAACGTATAGCACTCGCTCCAACTCCAACTCTCTCATCTGCTTCCGGAATTTGTAAACTTAAAAATTAACAGTACGTAGCTAAATATATATTACCATGCTGCAAACCATTTTTTTTTTGTACACAGGAGGCATAAACAATAAACAAAAACTTATGAACTTTAAACGGAGAAATGGTAAATATGTTAAAATATATAATATATATGTATGTATGTTGATTTATTTACGACGAGAGCGTGTGGCACGTTTGGGCGCTTCGGATTGCCCAGGCTGGGCCGCAGATGCTGTTGACGTTGTTGTCTCTTCCGTCGTCTCGAAGTGCACCTTGCGACCGCGTCCGGCGCGTATGGGTGCCGGCGTCTCCGACTCATTTTCTACTTCCTGGACGGGCTTGGTGGTGCGTGCAGCACGTCCACGTGCAGCCGGTGCTCGCTTGGTGGCCGGCACCTCCGTTGAATCCATCTCCACATCGTTCGGGTCCGCCACAACGACTGGCGTCTTGGCGCGTGCACCGCCTCGGGCTTTTTTGGTAGCCGGCTGCTCCGCCTCTGGCTGCGCCTCAGCTGCTTTGGCTTTGCGTGCATTGCGCTTCGCTGGCGTCTGCTTTGGCTCCGCCGCATCCTCCACATCGGCCTCTTCGTGTTGACTGGTGGCACTCTCCTTGCGATTGCGTGCAACGCGTTTAGCTGCTGCGGCTACAATATCGGCCCCTCCATCCATTTCAGGCGCCTTGCGCCGCGCACCGCCACGCGGTTTGGTTACCACAGGCGTGGCCTCGTCCGCTGCGACCTTTTTCTCTGGCGGCTGTTCGGCTTCGGCTTCGTGTTCGGCGGCAGCTTTGCCCTTGCGCCGCTTGGGCGTAGCGGGACGTTGCACAGCTGCATCCACCAAAAGCTCCAGCGCCTTGGCCGTCGGCTGACGGACACGACGTCCCCGCGATGTGGCCGGCTTCTCGTCGTCGGACGTTTCATTGTAATTCTTGCGCGGCACATTGCGTCCCTCACGTCGCTGTGAACTTGTTTGATCTGGCAGTACAATCGTCTGTCCAGTGGGCGTGTGCGGCGCCACGGGCTCCACGGGCTCCACAGTCGGCTCCGCGGTTGCTTTTTGCTTGGTGGGCAGCGGCGTGTTGGGCTTTGGTATGGGCGATGTTCCTGCACCTGGAGATTTGGCAGCTGTAGTTGCGGCCGTTTTGCCGGCTGCAGGTTTACGTGCTCGGCGAGACGAGGAGCCCAACTTATCCTCATCCGATGTTTCGTCATAGTTCTTGCGCGGTAAATTCCGTCCTTCGCGACGTCGCGGCGTTAGCTCATCCTCTGAGCTTGGCAGCTGTGGCTTTGGCGATGCTGCCACAACAACTATGGCTGGTTCCGGCAGCTGCGCGTGCAAATTCTGCACATCGAGCTGCTGCTCCAGCTCATCAACCGTTGCGGACAATGAGGCTTTGCGTCCACGTCGCGCGGTTGCCTTCTTCGCCTGCGGCGTCGGCGGCGGCGGCTTCTCCACGGAGGTTTCTATATGAACTGACGGTTTACGACCGCGTCGTTTCGTGGGTTTCTTTTCGACTGGCGGCTCTGCTTCTGCGGCAGCTTTGTGCTCTACGTCCGCGCTGGGCTTGCGACCACGCCTAGCTTGTTTCTCTGCTGGCTCCTGCGACGTTTCATCCGTTGAGTGCATTCCGTCGTCCGATGCCTTACGACCGCGTCGCTTTTGCTTAAGCTCAGCCGTCTCAGCTGGCGCATCTGTATCGGCTGTGGCCTTGCGTCCGCGTCGCGTTGCACTCTTCTCCCGTGAACCGGATGCCACGACCAGCTCCTGTGCCGGGGATGCTGGCTGCACAGATTCCGCAGAGACAGATGGCCGACGGCCACGCTTTTTGACTGTGGACGACGTCTCCGCCACAGCTGGGTCTTCCAAACGCATGCTCTTTGCCGCCGGCTCGGCTGCTTCTTCAATTATAGCAAGATGCTCCTTGGATGCTGCTTGCTGCTCCACAGTTTCCGCTGAAGCTTTGCGTGCAGTACGCGCGGGTTTGCGCTCTGGCAGCTGCGCTGTTTCGGTTGTTTCTGCCACCTCTGCCGATGATGCCTTGCGACCGCGTCGTTTGGGCTTCTCTTTGATTGGCTCCTCAATGGGCTTTACGGATGCAACAACTTCCGGCGCTTCAGCTTCAACATCAGCGGAATGCTTGCGTCCCCGTCGCTTTGGCTTGTCTGTATCGGTTGACTCCTCTTCCTTCTCCACTTGAGTATGTGTTTCGTCATTTGTTCCCTCTACGAGTTTCCCTTGTGCCGGCGCCTCGCTTGGTTCAATTTCCGTTGTCGGTTTTCGGCCGCGTCTCGTCCTAGGCTTATCCAAGTCCATTGTTTTATCCACAATTGCTTCTTTCAACTTCTCAGCTTGCTGCTTAGTTTCATTAACCTCAACTGTCGCTTTTCTTCCGCGACGTTTTGTTTTGGGCAGACTGTTTGCTTCTTCAGACGTTTGACTTTCTGCTTCGATAGCTTCTTCCACTTTCTTCTCTGCAGGGGATTCCGTTTCAACTGCCTCAACTGTAGCTTTTCTTCCACGACGTTTTGTTTTGGTTAGATCGCTCGCTTCGGCGACAATCTCTCCGTGTGTGACAATTCCTACTGCGATTGTCTCCTCAACTTCCCGCTCAACTGCTTCAGTGTCCACCGTTGGTTTCCTTCCACGGCGTTTCGGTTTATGTATTTCTGCGATTGTGTCTTTCACATTCTTCTCGACTTCGACATCAACTGTTGATCTTCTTCCACGCCGTTTCGCTTTGGTTAAATCGCTTGTTTCATCGAACTTATTCTCTGTACTTATTTCGACTCCTTCTGCAATCTTTTCAGCTTCCTGCTTTTCAACGGATTCTTGACTTTCATCCGTCTCCAACGCAGATTTACGTCCACACCTTTTAGTCCTGTCGTCCGTTTTCCCTTCTACTTGGGCATCAACAATTTCAGCGGCATGTTTTTTGCCACGCCGCTTCGGCTTTTCCTGGTCAGTCGCCTCTGCAGACACTTGCTTTACATTTTCCGCAAGCTCCGCCGTAGATTTGCGTCTAAGTCGCTTGGGCTTTTCCATGGTCTTATCATCAGCTTCTGGCGCCTTTTTCACATTCGTCACACGCGCAATATTTTCGACGACATCCACCTTCTGCTGCACTTCCGCTTTCTCAATAGTTTCTTGATCTTGACTTTCGGCAAACACATCTGTTGACAGTCGTCTGCTGAGCTTGGAATTTTCTGCCTTCACAGTAGGTGTTGCGTTTCTGTTGCCACGTTTGCTTGACTTCGGTTCGTAAGGTTCGGCTTCGGGTTCCACAAGTATTGATGGCCTGCGGCCACGTCGCACTTTCTTTGGCTCTTCCTCCATTTTGTTCTCCAAATTTTCAGCTTCGTTTACTTTCTGGGCTTCAGTAGCTACTGCCTCTATTTGAACCTGTTCAGAGACTGCCTGCCGTTCGTACCCGTCGCCTACTGTTACCTGATTTAAGTTGTCGGTAGTTGTGACATTTGCTTCGGCATCGGCATTTTCTATATTCGAAATCGAGCTGCTATCTTCGGGCAATTCGATTGCGACTTGCATTGGCGGTGATTCAAGAGGTTCAGCTTTTGTGTCCTCACTTTGTTTATCCAGCACAGAGTTGGTGTCAGTTGAGGAATCATTCAGTTCAATAACCGCTTCATCAAAAGGTGCAATAACTGTTGCATCAGAGCTGGAATCTGCTGTAGTAGAATCATCTAATTCAATCACAGTCGCAGCTACAGAGCTGGAGTCAACTGTGGAATCATCCAAGTCAATTACCGCCTCGCTTTCAACAGGTGAAACTTCTGCGGGCATCTTTTCAGTTTTCTCCACCTCATCCTCATCATCTTTGTCTAGGCTTTCAACTTGAGACGAGCTTAAATTGATCTCTTCCATTGGAATAATATCTTCCGCTCCTTCGGATTGATTAGTTTCAGTTTCCTGTGCAGCATTCGGTTGATCTGCCATTTTACCAACTCCTTTATCTTCCTGTCCAGCCAATTCTTCTTCTTCAGCTAAAAATTCTTCGACGCCAGTCAATAAATCTCTCGACTGCTCTTCTGTATCCATTGCTAAGCTGTCTTCAATCGGATCATCTGCTACAGATTCGGAATCATTCTCAGCCGCGCAGCTGGCATCCAAATCAATAGCTGCCTCAACTTTTTCTGATTCATCAGAAGACTCTTCCTCGTCAATCGTGGGCCTCTCCTGATCATTTTCAGCTACAACATTCAGCTCCGACTGATCAGCGCTTTCTTCAATCGGATTATCTGCTACATATTCGAAATCCTTCTCAGCCCCGCAGCTGGCATCCAAATCAATAGCTGCCTCAACTTCTTCTGGTTCTTCAGAAAACTCTTCCTCGGCAATCTTGGTCTTCTTCTGATCATTTTCAGCTACGACATTCAGCTCCGACTGATCCGCGCTTTCTTCAATTGGATTATCTGCTACAGATTCAGAATCAATGTCAGCCGCGCAGCTGGCATCCAAATCAGTAACTGCCTCAACTTTTTCTGGTTCTTCAGAAGACTCTTCCTCGGGAATCGTGGGCTTCTTCTGATCATTTTCAGCTACAACATTAAGCTCCGACTGATCCGCGCTTTCTTCAATCGAATTATCTGCTACAGATTCGGGATCATTCTCAGCCGCGCAGCTGGCATCCAAATTAATAGCTGCCTCAACTTTTTCTGATTCTTCAGAAGACTCCTCCTCGTCAATCGTGGGCTTCTTCTGATCATTTTCAGCTACAACATTCAGCTCCGACTGATCCGCGCTTGCAGCTTCTATTTGGTCAAGAACTTGATTACTTTCTCCTTGAACTCCCAGTTGTTCGTCAGGCGCAGCTTCAGCTGTCACATTTTCATCCATTTTGGCTACACTTGAGGCGGATTCATTCAAAGTGTCATTTGAAGCCTCAACCTGTAGTTCTATAGACTCTGCGACGGGACTTGATTTTGATTCTTCGATGTCCTTCTCTGCCACATTATCAGCCGTGTAATCCAAGTTTGTAGTTGACTCTTCAGCCTGTACTGATGATTCTGGAACTGGGCTTGATTTTGCCAGTAGGTTTTCATTTTCTTCTATAAAATCATCCCCAGCTTTGCATGCAGCATCTGTATCGATTACATCCACAACTTTTTCATGGTCAGATTTGATATCTTGCGAGATCTCAATAGGTTCCTCAAGATCTGACTGATTTGCTGTCGAAGCATCTAAAACAGTATTCACCGCTTCCTTTATGTCTTGGCTTTGAGCTGAGGATTCAATAAAAGGTGGTATTTCCTCTATCGGTTCATCTTGTTTGCCATTGGTTGTATTTTCTTCTTCCGTCTGCTTTTCGTTTATGGATATTTCAAGAGATTCCTGTCCTTCCGTCTCTGCATTCGATTTAAACGAGCAATTATCTTTCCGCTTAGCTTCCTCATCCACTGACGCTTTATCTTTGGATGAAATTGGAATTTCAGTTGTTGTTACAACTGAAGCATCCAATTCAATAGCAGACTCATGCATAGCTTCATCAGTGACGTGCATTTCATGTGCATCAGTAGCCTCAATCGAAGCTCTTTCAGAAGATGATTCCATCATTTCAGGAGCTTCTGCACCAAGCTGTTTGTCCACATTATCTGCTTCACCCACAACTGATGTGTTCGGTTCAATCAACGACTCATCTACATTCGTGACTTCAGATGGTGCAGGTGCTTGTTCTTTGTGTTCATCCAAAGTATTATCAGCTTCTGCTACAACTGAAGCATTTAATTCGATGACGGACTCATCTACATTCGTGACTTCCTCATCGCCTTGAGTTGTATTCTTATCCTTATCACCAATTGATTTTTCACTTGTTTCGCTAGCCTGTTCATTGACATTTTGCTCATTCTTATCGCCTTTGACTGCAACGGATGCATCTGGTTCAATCAGTGACGCTTCTACATTGGCGGGAGCTTCGTTCGTGTCCGCTGAGGATTCTTCGGAAGATCTGGGCAGGATATCACCAAACGATGCAGTGAATTTATTTTCGTTTTCATCATCAAGCTGAACTATCGACTCATTCTCATTGGTTGTACTGCTTTCAAGGATAGCTTGAGCAGCAGATTCCTCAGATTCGGCATTGTCAGATTCACTTTCAGCGGTGGGATTCAATTGGTTTAACAATTCCTCGGCAGATCCTGGCATAGATTCTTGGATATCTTCTTGAACAACTGATTTGCCTGCTGAGGCATTCATCTCCATTTCCGGCTCAGCTTCGATAGAGGTAGCCTCGCCTTTGCATTCAGTTTGAGCCACCGTTGAGGCACTGATTTCCATCAACAACTCATTTAGTTGAATAGCTTCCACCCCAGCTTCACTCAAATCTAGTATCTCACTGGGCGATGTTATAACGATCTCTGGAATTTGCTCCTCTAATTGTTCAATTAGAATATCTGCATCTTCTAGTACAGAGGCATCCAATTCGATAACGGACTCTTCTAGGTCGACTGTAATCGTAACATTTTGAACAATTGCCTCCTCATCAGCAGGTGTTTTTGTAATTTCCTCAGCTTGTACATCGGCAGTTTCCCTAGATGCGCTTGTGCTACTTATTGAGGTTTCTTTGGACTCTATAAACTCTTCCAGAATAGACTCTTGCTCATTTGTGGCTTCAAGTGTTCCCGGTATTTCGGCTTCATTTGTATCTTTTGCCAAGTCATGTTCAAGGGATTCTTTAGATACATTTGATTTAAGCTCTGGACTTTGCTCTTTTTGAATCTCACCCTTTTCTTTGCTGGAGAGTTCACATTCCAGAACTTCTTCAATCGACCATTCTTCGACAGGTTCATCGACGGCTTCGAGTTCATCAGCTAGTTGCTCAAGATCCTGAGATTTATTGAACTGAAAGTCTTTATTTTTGTCATTAACTGTTGATTTATTCCATTCCCCAACACTAGACGTTGCTGCATTTGATGCATCCAGTTCTATTATGGACTCATCTTTACACACGTCTGGAGCTTTATTTATATCTTTGCTCAACGATTCTTCAGCTGCGCTTGAAGCATTCAGTTCAATAATGGACTCATCTTGCACTTTGCTTAAATTGTTGTCTAAAGATTCTTCTAAGCTCGTGTTAACTTCATCCTGGCTAACATTAATAGTATAAATTGTAGATTTTCTTTTGATATCAATCTGAGCCAACGTTTCGTCTATGTTAGTTGCCTCCAAATCAATCTGGAATACGGTTTGAGTTGATGTTTCAAGTTGAACTGATAATTCCTCGACAATTGAGACTTCAGTTTCCTGGCCATTCTTCTGAGAATTATCTAAGATAGCTGATTTATTTTCAATGGACTCTTGCTCTTTGACCGATGAGTTCTCAGCTATATCAAAATCGTATCTATCTTGTTCCGGTTCTTTGATAGAAACATGATGAGAATGCTCCTGTTCAAGATGAGTTTCTTCTACTTGAACGACAGATTTGTTGGCATTTGGCTTCTCTAGTTGCTCATTGCCATCTGGTACCACTTCCACCTCATCCTCATCGTCGCTAAGTACTAGAGGCTCAGTCAGACCCACCATCGAATCCGTATCAGAGCCTTCTTCCAGCCTCTCTTTCCTGGGCGTACGCAATTTTACAAGACCCGTGGCCTTTGTTTCCTCCAATGTCACATCGCACGAGGCCACGCCGGAAACAATTAGTTGCTCAGAGAACATGGAATCCGATGTCTGATCGAGTAGTTGTATGCCGCTCACTTCGCAAATTTCCGTTGATTTGGCTATATCCGAATAACGCTCATTGCTCAGCGCACTCGTATGAAGATCTCCTCCAGCGCCAGGCTTGAATGCGGTGCTTGTTAAGGGATCCCGATTGCTGCCATCAATATTAGCAATTGTCATCAGCGCCTCGGAGTTCATAGTGTCACTCGGTTCCACAGACTCGTCTCTTGCTACAGTTGTGGACAACGGATCCGGAGCGGAAGTATTGGCTACGCTGACAGCAGTCACATTTATCTCGGCCTCCGAGTCCTCGACAGTGATGACGGGATTCGTTGCTTCCGCCGTCAGCACATCATCAAAGATTTTATCCAAGTGCAACGTTGTATTTGTTGCATTCAAATCGTATTCAGTGGTCGTGGCCAGCGAATTCTCACACGTTTTCAGCACAGCGCTAGCGGGCTCGTTTGGTATCATTAGATTCTTGCCACGCGGCGTCTTGAAATACAAGTCCTGTGCATCGCCCGGCGCTTCGGAATGTGTCAGCTCCAATGTAACACGATTTACAGTTAGTTGACGTTTGGGAGTGCCAGTTGCATCATTTGAATCAGCTTCCAGTAGCTCGTCAATGTTGCCCAGTATTGGCGATTTGGGCACCTTGGGTGTGCGCATCATTTCGCGGAGTCCCTTGAAACGCGGTGTACTGCAGCTTTTGGGCGTCTTCAACAGCTCCCGCATGCCATGGTAGTCAATTTTATCTGGTTCATTCGCATCAGCTGTCAGTTCATTGCCGTAATCCTCATCCGCTGGCAATTTATTAGCTGTGAAAAAATTGTTCATTACTAAAAACGTTTTCATCGCATTTAGGTACTCACCTTCTATCTGTAGTGCATCCTCCTCTTCTACTATGACGCCCATGTCGCCCACAGATTCGTCCACTTCCGCTGCTGGCTTCGGTGTATGGATTAGCAGGCGTAGCGATTTGCGAGTTGGCGTGGACAGCTCCTCCGTGAGGCGCCGCTTACGTTTGGGCGTGGCGGGAGCAATGACGTTTACTTGATTTTCCAGACTCGCCGTGCACGAGGCACGACGTGTGGGCTTGCTGCACTGCTCCAGTTTGTTGCTGGCCTCCATTGAGGCGCGGCGAACGCTGCGTCTGGTCGTTAAGCCGACTGCACTCTGTTCCACTGAAAGGCGTCGCATGCTGCGTCTTGGTGCTATCTGTTCGACACCTTCTTCTGGCGAATCTATATTCATATAATACAAATATACAAAATACCTTAATGGATAATACTATACAAATTTGTTACAAAAAATATGTTGTTAAATGAAAAGTTACTTTTTTCCATGATTTTTGATTGATAACTTATTAGGCTATGTTTTTTATAATTCCAATATTCGATTAAAATTCTAGGAAACCTTAGTTTGACATAAGGTTAATATTTAAATAAGCTCTGTACCCAGGTCCACACTGTCATAAAATATATGTTACTAATACTAGATACCAGCTGCATATTTTAGACATCGGTTTTACTGCTTCCACCCTCGGATTCACTTTAATAGATTTAACTAATTAACTTCTGTGTTGCCCTTGACTGTTGCCGTGGCTCAGGCAATATCATTCCATTGTGTACATCTGTTAATTGCATTTTATCAAGTCCTGAGACTCACCATTATCTTGGACAGCATTCTCTTGGCTGGTAGGCACCTCCTCGCAAATGGCGTCCTCAGCTATATGCAGGTCTGTAATACCATCCTCAGCTGTGTGTGAAATTACATTAGTTAAATTTGAATTGAAAAATGATGATAGACCTTCTTACCTTCTTGATATGTTGTTGTTGTGGCCACCTCCTCGCAGATGCTATCGTCAATAACATCAACTGTTGTCACATTGCACACGCTTTCAGTGTGTGGATCCTCAATCAATTCCTGGTCTGTTTCTTGTGATCCAATAGATTTATCATCGCTGGCAACTTTATGCTCAACATCTGTCGGTCTAAGATTCTCTTTCCGAACACTGGTAGGCTCAACTGTTGTCGAATGCTCCACGGCTGCCTTCAGGGATTCGTTATTGGCTTCAATACAAATATCTGCAGGCAAATTCTGAGAAACATTCGCATCGAAGGTTCTGTCTAGTGCATGCTTATCATTGGTCTTATTCATGGCTTCACTGATTTCGCTGCTTGTTCTGGAAATTTCGGTATCTTTGGTGGCTGCTGCAGACACAATTCCTGTGCTGCTCTCATTAAGCTCCAATCGTGCAGCATTGCCATTACTTTGAATTTCATTTAAAGAAGCTTCCAGCTGTTTGCTCTTATCCACACTCCTGTCCAGCAAACCAACTAGGAGAGGCTTTCCATTTTCTTCATCGTTTATCAAAGCAGCCACTGCCTCCAAAGCTGCTGCTGCCATGGGCTGTTCCACGTGCTCGCCATTATCATCTATGGTAAACGTGCGACTCAGCTCAGCTGAAGAATTAAGTTCAAGATCTGTTGTAAAGGTGTCATTGGCTGCAAGGTCTGGTGCTCCTTTTGGCTGTGCCGCATCAACTTTGGGCGAGGCGATGCGCTGCGGTGAATTTTGCTTGGGCGAGTTAAGAGCACGACGTGCTTTGGCCACCAGCTTGTTGCTCATACCCATGCCGGGACTCAGCTTGGCGGCGGCGGCCAGCGTTTTGCGCACCTGCGAGATTTTGTTGTCGCGCGGACTGCTTAAGCATACCGACTGACGTTTGCGTGGCGATGTCAGCGGTGCTTTGGCAGGCACTCCGGACTGCTGACGACGGCCCACTGTGCGCCATTGCGGCTGCGGGTGGAAGGGCAGGCGTCGTGGCGCGGTCAGGCACTGACGACGTGCCTCGAGCAGCGACTGCCTGCCAGACGTTGCCGCCGGCGTGGTGCGTTTGCTGTTAGTTGTGGGCAATTGCTTCTTGGCGCTGGTGATCAGTGCACGTTTCATCAGCGACTGCGGCGTACGCTTCGGCGTGGACCCGGCCGCCAGCAACTGCTCCTTGGGCGTTTTGGCCAACAGACGTGGCTGTTGTTTTGATGATGAGGGCGTGGACGAGTTGGTTATGTCTATGACCAGCGGCGAAGCATCAGAGGATTCATCTGTGGAGTCGACACTGATGATGCCAGCACTGCCGGGCGTATGTCTGGGCGTCACGGCTAATGTGGGCCGCAACCGTTGCGGCGTTGTCAAATCAATTAGAAACATGGATGATGCACGTTTGCCAGCCAGAGCCTTTTTCGATGTGGACGGCGTGCTGAACTCCATTAGATCGCGACTGCAGCTATCATCGTTCTGTTCGGAGAGCACACTCTTCGGCGTATTATAGACGCTTTTCGGCGTTGTCGCCGCCGACAGCAGTCCGATTGCTGTGCTGGGTTTCATCACGCGCATGAAGGACTTTTCAATCTTGACGCCCGTTTCGCGTGGTGAAAACGATGTGATTGCCACATCCGAGCGGGCACACAACTGTAGCATTAGCTTATTGCAAGGCTTGCTGGTATTCTCCTTGTTCTGTGTCGCCTCCAGCAGATCCACTTTGGGCATCGTATCGTCCACGTCTTTGGCTGGCGGTGTTATACAGCGTTCCGGCTCTGCCGCAACCGTAGGCTCTGCTGCATTGCTGCTCGTGCTAAGCTCCAGTTCGCGCGATTCAATGGATGTGTTGCCATCATCGTCCGAATTGATTGAATATCGAAAGCTGTAAGCAACCGCATATAAGTAAATCACATATTCACTAAAATCACAAAAGTTCCTATTGTCTTTAGAAACTTTTCAATTAGAGGTTTTGAAAACATTTTCTAGCATTCTACTTAAAGTTTCTAAGATCTGGCAGAGGCAATCAAGTTTTAAAGTAAAGTACACTAATTATTACTCTAGAAATATTTATAAGACCATTTGCTAGACTATATACTTGTTCACTTTATAAAAGTAAAACACGTCATATAAATTTTGTCATATAACGTATTATAATTTTGCCTGAATTAACACCCTAATGAATATTTTATAAGCTAATATTTAAAATAAAATATTAGCAAACTGTATAAGAAACTGCTTATATTATTATTTTTTGCTCATTCTGCGAATCATACTTTAAACAGTTTCCAAATTTTCAGCGGAAATGGGAAATTTTCCCTACTTGAAGACTATTCTAAAATCAAGCCGCCCGAACTCTTCTTCCATATGGAAGACATACGATTGTCATGTGCGTGGCTCTGGCTCTAATAATCAAAGATTTTGTTTATGCACAGTTATTTGAAGTTAAATTGTACACATTTCCCTTTGGAAACATGTAATATATGTTAAAAGCATGTAGAGTAAACAAATATTTGCTTTTATCAAATTGCGTATTGTTTCTATATCGCTACAAATATAACAAAATTTTGAATAAATATCGCTGTTTATTTCTAGACAACATATAATAGTCCTGTACTATATTTTTGTATATATGTGCATACACATATTGCATTTGTAAAGCTCCTATATAATAATTCTGTATGTAGGTATTTACACACATTTTTATGTGCTACCAAACTACTACACAATATTTCTGTTTAATAAAACAATATCACAATTAACTAACAAATGAAGTTTTCTAATCTTCTGCAGCGCCCAAAACTTCTTGATTGTATTGCAATTTCTTGATTTGTTCTTGAGTTTTCTTGTCTCTCAGAGCATATGTTAGCGCATTTAGGGGTTAAATGTGTGTTTGTCCTTTGTGTTTGTCCTTAGACAGTCTCTGACTACCTGGGCCGCCTGCTGCTTCATGCTTCATGCTGCTTGCTGTTACTTACTTGTGGACGGTGAGGCGATTGTCGAATTGACGACGTTGTCGGTGAGCCTGTAAAATGCGCCAAAGCCAGCCAGATTAGCGTCTATATAGCTGTACCAGCAATTGGACTGTACTCACTTTTAAACTGGGCGATGAATTTGGCGCCTGCTCCGGTGGCTGTCGATCCGGTGTGTTAGACTCTTCACTTTTGGGAAAATGCCAGATATACGATTCATTCAGTATTTTAATGCGTGCGCCATGCAGCAGTGGACGCTTGGCCTTCATCTGCACAATCTGATCGTTAAGCAGGATTGGCTCGCTGCTCGAGTGATTGTAGATGGTTACCTAGATGGCGAATGTGAACAGATTTGACAATTATAAACATTCTTATTATTAATGCTATGGCAAATCGATACGCGCGCATTTCATTTACACACAAACACACACGCACACACACACGCACTTACACACAACAGACGAATGCACACACTGTACTCACCCTGCCAAAGGCATCGCATTGTATCTCGCAGTGAATGCGCTCAGCATCGGGCAGCACCAAATCGCAGCCCAAAAAGGAGCCCACATTGAAGTTACGTCCTTTCGCCGTGTATGCGACTGTAGTGCCAGCGGCATTTACATAGTTTAATTGGGCGCCATCCAGCGACATTATACATTTAGCATTAAATTAATTACAATGCAGCTGCGAATGAAAATTTGTGAGCTTGTGGGCGGTATGAGCGTCGGCGACGGTGGCGGCTGCAACTTTCGCTTGGTGCAGAAGAAAATGAATAGAAAAAGGAAGCCGCAAGCGAAAAGTAAAGCTAGACTTGTACAGCGCACATAAAAACACGTTTAACACTATAACTGATACTCGCGCAACACTAACCGAACAGTTTTTCAGTGCAATAGACGTTTATTACGCACTTTATTTTGTGTTTTTTTAGCGCAAACAGCCCGGTTTTCTGTACAGGAATTCTTTTTGCAAGGGACGCGCGGCTCAGACATGCCAATCTGACTAAAACTGCTGTTAAATTCAAATGCTCGAAATTGCTAGTTGTGTAAGTGCTGCCAACCTGCTTGTATGGCTTTGTTTATGATAATTACCTAAATTGAAAATGTCTTTTAATATGGTTTATTTACAGACGATATTTATGCGTTGTTAACGGTTATTTATATTTTTTATTGCAGTTTTTCTTTTTAGTTATTTGCACCTATCGATAAGATTCATCGTCTACGATATATCGATAGACTTCCCAGCCCTGGGTTTGACTAGCTGCCTGGCGCAGCAAGTTGTTATTATAATATAAGATTTTGTTATTCCTATATGGAACAGATTTAAGTATATTTATTAAATAAACACTATGTCGAAAATAACAATGAGTCAATTGACGCACCCACAGCGCGTGCGTTTACTGTACAAAACCATATTGCGACTGCATCGAGGTAAGTGCAACAGCCGCATAAGCATAACCAGATCTTAATTCAAAACATTCCGAAGGTCTGCCCACAGAACTGCGCGCTTTGGGCGATAACTATGTGCGCGATGAGTTCAGGCGGCATCTCAAATGCAATCCCATGGAGGCACAACTTTTTATGACCGAGTGGGCTGTAAGATTTACGTAAGCGTGTTCAAGGCTTTCTAATTGCCACGCCTCTTCTTTTAGCGCTACGCCTCTACCATCACAAAGCAGCTGGGACTGCGCGGCAAACCGAAAGGTGAACTGGGCGAGCCGCTGGATCCCCAGTCGGTGGAAATGCTCAAGGATGACCAAGTAGTACAGCTATACGAGCTAATGCTGGCCACCAAGGCACTTGATGGAGATACAATAACGGCAGATGATGTGAGAGGCAGTAATCAATAAATTGTAGTTTTATTATTAGTTATTGTTTTTCCAATATTTTGTATTCGTATTTAATACCGTTCTCCTCCTGCACACCATGTGGCGTGTCCTCATCGAGCGGTACCTCATGAAAACTAACCGGTATGTTGGGAAAGAATGTGTCGCATTCGAACTGCTCTTGGATTTTCGTAATATACAGGCGATGGCAACGCGGCGATGCCATCGCCTCCTCATATACCCCGCTGCCGCCCACAATCCAAATGTTCTCGATCTGATCGCACCATGGCTCACTTTCCAACGTTTTCAACGCCTCCTCCAGACTGCGGCACAGCAGCACATCATTTGGTAGCTCTGCTTTAGACATCGTCGTGCTGAGCACAATGTTCAGGCGGTCTGGCAGCGGTCGCTTACTGGGCGGTACACCAAAATAGGTCTTTCGGCCCATGATGACAACATTGCGTTTGGCAGGATCGCTAGTGCGTTTCGTCGTGCGACTAAAATACTTGAGTTCGGATCTGTCGATGGGAAATGTTTAAAAAAAAAAAAATAACAAAAAACTCGGAATGCGCATGACTTTGAAACTTACTTGAGACGCCAGGGCAGATCGCCCTTGAGGCCAATGCCAAAGTTTTCGCAAACTGCAACAATTAAATTATACCTAAGCATCTTGACAGTCTGAATCAACTAATTGAGATAATATGGATGCTATCTTTATATCATCAAATTCAAACACAAAAGTTTCAAGGGAAGAAGCAGACCGGTTATCGGTTTAATTTTCCATGACGTTGTGTGCCTGGCTAACTGCCGCCGATAACTGCATGTGATGTTTATCGGTTTATCGGCTTACCACTTATCGCACATTTTAGGTATTTAAACTCGGCGTGTTTTCTTTATTAAAATGCCAAATCTTTACATTAAAGTGTCATTTAGTACTACAAAGACAGATATATTGACTTGCACTTTTATATAATAAGTTTATTATTCTGGTCCTGCGAGCAACCAATAGGTTTCCATATCCCCCTTGCCCTTAACTTTCACAAAGCCGCGCGCCTCCACTTTGTATCCCACCTCCCGCACTTTCATGGCCGTGTAGTTGGACAATTGTATCTTCCAAGGATCGCAGCTGCTCTCCATGCGCGAGGCCGTATTCACAGTATCCCCGAAGAGGCAGTACCGTGGCACCTTCATGCCAACCACACCAGCTACCACTGGACCAGAATTGATGCCCACGCGGATAGCCACATCCGGAAGATTGTGGGCCTTCACCTTCTTAATAACGCGCAACGCCAAGTCGCAGGCGTGTTCGGCATGCAGAGGATTGATATCCGGTGCTCCAGACACTGCCATATAGACCATGCCCACGGTCTCTACCTTATAGACAAATGGCGATATGATCTCCTCGTCCAGCGCAGAGAACACCTTGTTTAGGGTGTTGACAGCCTGCATGGCTTCCTGTACGTTGGTTGAGCCGCTGTCGTAAATATTCATTACTTCAATGAAGATGACGGAGACCTCCTCAAAGCTTTGACAGACGTGCTCTTGTCCCATTCGCATGCGCTCCGCAATGGGTCGTGGTATCATGGAGTAGAGCAGTTCGTCACCTTGTCGCTTCCATGAATCGGCCAGCTCCAAGGACTTTTCCAGCTCATCGGAGCGCTGCTCCTCCTTCTCGAACATAATCTCTAGCTTAGAGCAATGCTGCCAGCCCGCCATGACCAGCTCACGGCTCAGGCCATGTGGATTGAGATCATTCAGGTATAAGCCGATGCCATGCAGCTCGTCCAGATTCTCAATCAAGGGGCTGCACAGAAAGATTAACGAGTCCACATCCTTGATATAGAACATCTGACCCTTGAGCAGAATAGAACGAAGACCTACTGAAGCCCTGCGCAATCCTGTGGCCGGATCGATTTCCTTCGTTGCTGCTGCCGCTTCTTCTTCATCCTTTTCATGCTCCTTTTCAAACTCCTGGGCCTTGGCCACTGCCATGGTCTGTGCCTCGTTCAAGCTCGAGTCGTCGTAGTTCTCATAATCGAGATTGAGGGCCGCATCATAGGCGGCTCGACTGTGCCCGGTGCGTATCAGCTCCATCTCGAACAGCACGGTTCGCATCTGTAAAATGGTATCCCACTCGATTTTGGTGTCTTTTGGCCGCCGGCACTTGAACACATCCATGACATGGGTGCCAATAAAGCTCTTGGGATTAACGCCCGGATTATGCAGTATCCAAGTCTCAATGATCTTCTCGCCAGCTAGCGTTATTTTCATGTCATGATTCAAAACAATTGTAAAGGGGAACAGCTCTAGGAACACGTTCAGGTCCACCGACGGCATCTTCAGCTGCGATGGATGGGCGACAACGTTGACACGTTGGGCCATATAGTCGCGGTTGTCAAAGTCCAGGCGATACTTAACTATTACCGTTAAGGGACCGTCGGAGAGCTTAATGGGTCCCGCGGTGCCGCCGCATATATCATTCTGACTCTCGATAACATAGGCTGTCATTTGCAGGCCATAGAACTCCCGGGCCACCTCCGTCATCTGTCCGATGAGATATTTGGACATGCCTGTGCGCCCGCTGCGATATAATATGACCGCTCCATTATCATCCATATTGGTCAGCTGCATGCTGGGCGACTTCATCTTCGGGTATGTGAATCTCATCTGCAGATGTATATTATCGATGGACTGCAGGAAATCGCAAAAATACCGACCCGTCGAGCGTATCATCTTGTCATAGCCAAAGTTACTGAAGAAGCGCACGAAACATTTGCCAAAGAAGTTCATGCAAAAGTCAAAGGACTCGCCCGTACAGGCGGATAGCGCTGCGGCAATATCCGGCATCAGCTTATCCGGATATATTTGATGCGTTTTAAAGCTATTATGCTTGCAGTCGACTATCTGGCAGATCTTTGTCCATGTCTCCATGCCGTATTCCTCCTGGATATAGTGCTGCACGCTCTCGTACAGCATTCCGTACATGATGGCGGCTGTGGTTTTTTGTTCAATTTACGTGGCCCCCCCGGGGCGTAAGGCGTAAGGATTCGACTCGAGTGGCTGGGCGGCCAGGTGTTTTTGTGCGCTCAAATTGTTTGCGTCAAGTTTATCTGCAACGAGTAAAAGTTTGTAAGCGCATAATTAGGGCAGCCAATTACAAAGTTTTTCCATTATTCAAAGAAAAGAACTTAAGTCAATTTGTCAGGGATTACCGAAGGTCAAGTCTTTGATATTAGATTAGGCAATGACATTGAACGTACTTTAGCTACACAATTTATTTTTTTCATATTTCTGAGATATACTTTATGGAACTATTTTATTTATAGACTACCAAATATTTTGAAATTAGTAATAAATTGTTATGTAGATATTTTAAGCATAGATAGTCTTGCTTGTAAAAAGAATCAATCTCCCATCGGGAACATTTTAGAGCTGGTTTATGCCAAGTGATTGACGGCTGATTTAGTTTATTTCTTTAAGATTATACGCATGAGTTGTTAACCCGTTACAACTTTGCCGTCAAGCATAAAATTGAGTTAAGGATTTGACAAATGTCACTTAAGGAGCCTGCTCGAAACAGAAACTCAGCCAAGTATATCTTTCGCGGCAACATGCACAAGAAGTTAAGAGGCTTCGGCGCCGATATATCTTTTGATTTATGGCCCTGGCAGTTTAATTTGGTTTTACTTTCACGCCGCCAAGACACGAGCCCGCCTGCTACCGAGGCTGCCCCCCGGTTCCCGTGCCAGGAGTCGTGTCCTTGCGCCTGTCACGTTCACAAAATAACAGCAGCTCGTTGTTTCTTAACTTATTTCAGTTGCTTTTCGCTTTTGCTCCTGGTAATTCGTTTTGCTGTGCTCTTTTATTTTTCAATTTGCCCTTGTAAAACATTTGTCAAACTAACTGAAAGGCCATAAATTTTGCGCATTAAATAAATTTAAACGTTGCCTACTTACCGAAAACTCATCAAAAATTTTATGAATTTAATATGGCGTTAATATTTAATTAGGTATATATACAATATTTTAGAGAGTTTTTAATATGTTTTTTGAAAGATAAGTCAAGCTATTCTTACCGATTTATACCACTTTAATGCATATAAAATATTTATTAATATCTTGGTCTATAAATTCGAAATTTACGCCATGGTTTTAAATGTTCTTAAGTATTTAAAGATCGAAGCACATAAATAAATAATTCAGTTTTTAAAGATCTCCCAACTAAGGACTTTGCACTAAAGTTTAAATTCTTTAAAGCATTACTTGGCAAAACAATAAATACATCAACTGAACAGGCTATAAAAGTTCTGTGTTTATTGGTAATACACTTTCTATGTCTCTTAAAATAAGTTAATTTGTAATTGTTTATTGCAAAACAGAATAAGAAATAAGAACAGAAATCAAGTTTAAATTCTGTTTAAAGCAAAGAACACAATAACCATAGATCATAAAATCAAATGTATTAGAGTATGTAGTTAATGCTGTGCAGACATCATATTATCTGTAAAGTTCATAAAGTGTTTAAGTATTCAATGTTTGTTAAATTAAACCTCAGATAATACCGTTAGCTGCTTAACATTAACATTAGCATATTTATTGCCTGTTTATTACGCCGAAAAGTAGCTTACATTGTGCGCCAAAATCCTCAGATAGATTCCATACATATATAATATATATTTTTATGCCTTGCGGCAGATCAAACATTTAAATAACTTCCGTGTTCACTTTTGTTTTAAATTTATCTTCGTCGACCTATTCGCATTGTTTATTTATAATTTACAGTTAGCTGACACAAGCATATGCTCCACACACTCTCTCACTCATACGCACATAAATTTGCCCGGATTTGTCGCAGTTTCCCGTTGTTTAACACTGAGCTTTAGCTGTTGACGCACCGTCGCTCTCGGCTGCTGTTATTGTACTAATTTGTTGTTGTTGCTTCGACTTGTGCTCCATAGCGGCGGCAATCATTCGCCGCGCCTTGCCTTGAACTTCGTTCGAAATCGTCTCGTGTGATTGCTTCGGACAGCGATTTGCAGCGTTCGCGCTGCGTCGTGCGAATGTAGCGTGTTTCGTTGGCGTCCAGGTCTTTTATAGGCGACTCCCGGATCTAACACTGCTCGCCATTTCCGCGCACTTTACGCCTTTTTTTTCCTCCTTGCAGACACGCACTGCACGACACGTCGCACCGCTCCCGCCCCCGTCATTATCGTTAGTGTTTCATTTCATGTCAATGTGCTCTGCCCCCCTCACTAACGCCCCTGGTGGTTTGATGCCAATTGACGCTCGCTTTTCGATAAAGCATCAAATGAAAGCGAGTTTATTCTTTGCTCCTTTCCCGTTACGTGCTTATGAGCTCTTGGCATTGTCCCTTGGCCCTTGTTCCGTTACATTCAAGTGTTACAGTAGGGACGGGCAGACACACACAGGCTGCGCGGCATTAGTTCTTTGTGTTCAGGGAATCATATTATTGTAATGTAATAGTTAAGAATGCAGGAAATTGATTTATGCTCCATGTTAACCACATTAAGGACAAATAACATTCTAAACTAAATTAAAAATTTATAAAAGCCTGTCCGTTACACTTGTCCCTTTTAAACTATTCCCTACTAATAGAAATAAGCTTACCTAAGACTAGCCTTCTATATGAACTAGTTCCCTAATGCAAGCTCCAGTTCCTTAAGCGCGCAGCCCTGTGCTATTTTCTCACAGTTCGTGAAATGTATCATTTTTGAAGCCTTTGCCTTTGCCCTCTGTGGGTTCGCTTTGGGTTCTGCTGCTGTGTTTAATACTCTGACATTTTCACGCATACCTATAAAATACAGAAGCATGCGTGTGTGTGTGTGTGTAAGTATTCGAGTTATGTTTTAAAGCAATTTAATGGGGATTTTTGTCGTTGGGTAAACCAAAGCCTTGACAGCAAACGCATCTTTTACCCAAAAAGGATTTGGCAATTTTATGGGACAACATTTGTATAGTCAAACAGATGATGTTGATAAGCATGGATGGGACCTTAAGCGATTCGAGCTTAGATATATTCAGTTTATCAAAAAAGGGCTGAGGAACGTTGCGAACGTTTAAAAGCTACTCAAAATGCTATTAATCAAAGACAACAATAAATTATGTACAGATAGAATTTCCTTGAAAAGTTTACATATTTTGATATATATACACGCAAACAACTTAACTCGGAATTATCGAAACTCGAACCGGCAACGGAAATTAATTGACTTAACAAAGCTTAAATTGTACGTGCGACTTTGGGGTCCCCTTTGGTCACGCACAATGTCTTAATTTAATTGTGGTGGCACATCCCAAGGGACAGGCGGGGGCTGGCTGGCAGGGGGGGAGGGGGGGTGGGGGTAGCCACAATTGCCACTTAAATTCGCCAGAAAGTATGCTATGCTCCTATGATGAGCTTGACACGCGAACAGCTAATAAAAGTTATTAAAAATGATATTTTTGATGTCCGGAGAGTACGGCTCGGCGACAGTACGTTGCGGCTACGTAACGAACACGGACGTCGAGCGATTACGTTTTATGGCACATAATGATAGCAATCGGGCTGATCAAAGCATCGTAAGCGGGCTGTGCGGAGGATGACAACCAGTTTGTAAAATCAGTAAAAAAAAAAAAAATGGAAATTTGTAAAAGCCTATAACACGTACGTATTCCTTTAAAATGATTAAAGTCTAATTTACCCTTCTTTTGACGGGAAAAGGAGCGTCAAGTAGGGAACATTAATTTAGCTCAAATATACCTTCAAGTTATTTTTCCTTACAAAACAAAATTATAATCCTAGAATTAAAAACTTCGAAGAATCTAACATATTACACTTACTATAAGAAATGTTAGAAAAAGTTTGTGTCTTATTTTGATTCTTATATGCTTTGAACTATATAATCTCACAATTTGTAAAGAATGTACACTTTACTTTATTACTACTCTACTTCAAGATATATATTTACGTCAAGAGATATATCTAACTTAATTTGTGCAACGCCCGATAGATGAGTTTACAATGTGGACGCGGGTTCAAATCCTAGACCAGACATCGCTATTTTAAAGCTTGTATATACTTTACTCCCAGCTAATTATTAAAAACACAGCACAAAAGAAGAATATTCAAATTTAATGCAATTTAGAAAACTCACGAGTGCCAAAGAAAAATGTAGTGCAGTGCGCTGATTATATCATATCTTTGAATGTACTGCAAGTACACAGAGTGGATATGGGAGGATTACAATAGTATAATGGGGAGCATATTTGAAATCTTCAATCTTCAGGGCCTCCAAGCAGCCAGTAGGTTTCCATTTCGCCTTTACCTTTGACCTGAACAGTACCGCGTGACTCAACCTTATAGCCCACAGCTCGCACTTTCTCGGCCGTATAGGTGGACAATTGTATCTTCCACGGATCGCAGCTACTCTCCATGCGCGAGGCCGTATTCACAGTGTCCCCGAAGAGGCAGTACCGTGGCACCTTTAGACCGACGACACCCGCCACCACTGGACCCGAGTTGATGCCCACACGGATGGCCACATCTGGCAAATGTTGGGACTTCACCTTCTTGATGACTCGCATGGCCAAGTCGCAGGCGTGTTCGGCATGCAGAGGATTGATGTCCGGCGCGCCAGAGACTGCCATATAGACCATGCCCACGGTCTCTACCTTATAGACAAATGGCGATATGATCTCCTCGTCCAGCGTAGAGAACACCTTGTTTAAGGCGTTGACAGCCTGCATGGCTTCCTGCACGTTGTTTGAGCCGCTGTCGTAGATATTCATGACCTCCATAAAGATGACGGAGACCTCCTCAAAGCTCTGGCAGACGTGCTCATGACCCATGCGCATACGTTCCGCAATGGGTCGTGGTATCATGGAATAAAGAAGATCATCCCCTTGGCGCTTCCACGAATCGGCCAGCTGCAAGGACTTTTCCAGCTCATCGGATCGCTGCTCCTCCTTCTCGAACATCATTTCCAGCTTGGAGCAATGCTGCCAGCCCGCCATGACCAGCTCACGGCTCAGGCCATGTGGATTGAGATCATTCAGGTATAAGCCGATGCCATGCAGCTCGTCCAGATTCTCAATCAAGGGGCTGCACAGAAAGATCAACGAGTCCACATCCTTGATATAGAACATCTGTCCCTTGAGCAGAATAGAGCGCAGGCCCTGTGAGGCACGACGTTCGCCTGTTGCCGGATCGATTTCCTCCTCGCTGGGCTCCTCATTCGGATTATCCGAATTCTGCTCAGTTAATTCCTTGGCCTTGGCCAAGGCCACATTCTGGGCCTCGTTGAGCATCATGTCATCATAGTTCTCAAAGTCCATGTTGATTACAGCATCATAAGCAGCCCGATTGTGGCCCGTGCGTATGAGCTCAAACTCAAAGAGGACCGCGCGCATCTGTATCAAAGTGTCCCAGTTGATGGTGGTGTCCTTGGGCCGACGACAGTAAAAGAGATCCAGGATGTGCGTGCCGATGAATGCCTTGGGGTTGGCGCCTGGATTATGCATAATCCACGTCTCGACAATTTTCTCGCCCGCATGCGTTATTTTCATTTCATGATTGAGCACAAATGTGAAGGGGAACAGCTCCAGGAACACATTCAAATTGACTGTGGGCATCTTCAGCTGGGACGGATGCGCCGCAGTGTTAACACGCTTCGCCATATACTCGCGATTATCAAAGTCCAGCCGATATTTGACAATAACCGTCAGAGGACCATCTGTCAGCTTAATGGGTCCCGCGGTGCCGCCGGAAATATCATTCTGGCTCTCGACCACATAGGCCTTGATCTCCAGCCCATAGAACTCCCTGGCCACCTCCGTCATCTGCCCGATGAGATATTTGGACATGCCCGTACGCCCGCTGCGATATAATATAATCGCTCCGCTGTCGTCCATGCTGGTCAGCTGCATGCTCGGCGACTTCATCTTCGGGTATGTGAAGCGCATGATCAGGTGTATATTATCGATGGACTGCAGGAAATCGCAAAAATAGCGACCCGTCGAGCGTATCATCTTGTCGTAGCCAAAGTTACTGAAGAAGCGCACGAAACATTTGCCAAAGAAGTTCATGCAAAAGTCAAAGGACTCGCCCGTACAGGCGGATAGCGCTGCGGCAATATCCGGCATCAACTTGTCCGGATATATCTGATGCGTTTTAAAGGTATTGTGCTTGCAGTCGACAATGCGACAAACCTTCTTCCAGACCTCTATGCCGTACTCCTCCTGCACATAGTGCTGCACACTCTCATACAACATTCCATACATGATTCAGCCGATTTTATTGTGCCTTTAAAAATTATATATATATGGGATTTTAATCATTAATCAACTTGGGAAAACGGGAAAAAAAGGGGTTATAAATAAAGAGTATATTAATTGTATAAAATTTCATTAAACAATGCCAATGTTGGAAAAGCTCGCAAAGCAGGTCGGTTTCACCCGACTGTGCAATACTCTGTTCACATTGCAAAATCAACTTATATTAGTCGAAATTCTTGTTCGTGACTAAGAGAGTACAAGAAGGACGAGCACAATTTAATATACTCGATTTCACTTTGTGAACAGTGTATAAGAATTAACTTCACTCCTCGAAATTTGTGCAAATCGGACCATTATATCATATATTTAGCTAGTTATCAGTTATTATATAGAAATTTTAATGTAATTAAATTTAAGATTTTTTGTCATTTTATATATGTACATCATCCCGATTTTATCTACATCATCTCAATTTTTTAAGCTTAAGCTAACATTAATTTCCGATTTAATTTTCACACATTTTCACTTACTTAATGCTCAGTTCTGCTTTAAGGGAGCAACAGGTGTGCGCTTTATATAAATTAAAAATTCAGATCCCTTTCACTTTTTAATGGCATTAATTATTTATGGCCTGAACAAAATGCATGCCGAAATCCTTAATGTAATTTTCACAGGCTTCGCTTTTTTTTTTTGTGCGACCGGCTTTTTTGCCCGAGGATGTTTTCGTTGATTTGTGATTTTTGCTTTTGCTTTTCCTTTTTTTTTTTTGCCAAATAAAATATGTAATTGTGCGTCGTACTGCGTGCGGGTTTCGTCCTGCGAATGAAGCGCCTGCCTTCGCTGGCCAGGACTTTTATAGCCAGATGCCTGGCAAGCATTTGGCATCGTTCGCTCGACCCGTTCGTAACCCTTTCGGGCGCGTTCCCCTCTTCGGCTGTCGGAAGGGAGACCCATTCCCTTTGACTCGACTGGTCGTTGACAATGTCATTGCTCCTCGTTGATGCCAATTGACTCCTGCTTAGTCGATAAAGTGTCCGCAATGAAGTATCCTTCCTCGATTTTATTGCTTTTATAACAATAACTCACACGCACATAATGCGTTCTTTGCATTCTTATCTTTTCAATATTTGGTTGGGTGGGGTGTTCCTTTGGCATTTCGATTGTCCGAAATGACGAAAGTTTCTCTAAAAGTCAAATGTTTATATCCTGTGCACAGGAGACATGGATGTACGTACATGCAAAAATTTGCCTTTAAAAACCTTTGAGATGTCCTCTATGACTTTGTCTGGAAGTCAATATACGATAAATTGCTTACGTAGGACTTAATCTTCCCTCTCTCCTCTCTCGATCTCTCTTATAAATACAATAAATAAATTAATATATATCTATATATTTACTTTTTCTCATGACTATTAACTTTATAATACTCATGTTTTTTGCTTTTCTGTTATCAATAATTGATAATTAGCAGCGAAAGCCTGTTGCATCTGCGGCAGATATGGCAACTCTGTTTAAACAGTGTCTTTGGTGCTTCCACATGCTGGGTGATTTCCATGTGTACGCCAATATTTTCACCAGTCGGCTGCTCGTCTTTCCTCGTCCTATGATTTGGCCTTGCGCTTGGCCGGCTTAGCAGCGGGCTTAAGCAGACGCTGATTTCGTTTATAGCTGAGGCGCGTAATGCAGGGATGATCATTTGACTGCTTTGCAGCATTCGATAATTATTTATTAAAGTAAAATGAAAAAAGATCGGAGATGAGCAACCATTTTGAAAGCTTGCATTAGAAAAATCCACTATATTGTGAATGCAGTTTTGTTATATGTTTACCAGCATTATAAAATGGCGCGAAACGGTTAAGCCCATTCCTGTTATATATTAATTGAGCACAACTCCTTAACATTTTAAGTAAAATGCTAAGGCTTCGGAATCGAGACTTGTTTAATGTTAAAAATAGTTTTAATAAACTGTAATATGACTTCGAAAAATTAATGTAATAGCGCTATGGATAATTTAAATTGCATGATAGAATTTAGACATTTTCAGTTATTATTTACATGAATGCTATGAAATGTTATATTCGTTTAAAGAATTCTGTGGAAAAGCACCACGTAACAAATCACAAAAACACTTTTACTAGTGGAAATTATGCGGAGCACAAAAACAAATGTTGACAGTTGATGACAACGGTTAAGCGTTAAGGACGTTATTTATATTAGCTGCCACATAGATAACACATACATGTGTACATACACACACACACACACACGCACACAGGGCCTGGCGCGTGACAGCGCACTTAATTAGGGGCCCCTCCCATTACCCCGCTCCCCGCTGCTTGGCATCGATTGGGCAAACAATTCGGAGCGTTGATATTTCACTTGTGGCTTATGCGGAGAATAGGATTCATGTTGGCGGTGTATATATCTACATTAATACAGACAACATTAAAATCATGATTGATGTGGCAAATAAGGCTGCATTTGTCATGGAAAATGCCCCCAATTGGAGATTTATATATTTATGAATGCAATTTCTGACAATTACAAAACGTTAAGCTTTCAGTCCAGCCTATTTGCCCAGGCCCACTTTGTTGAAGAGCTTGTCCTTGACAATTTGTGCCATCAGGCCGTGTATGAGCTCTATTGTGGAGCGGCTGCAGTCGCGCGTTGCCTTGGACAGCTTATCCTCGGATCGCTTCTCATTGACATCGGTGCCTGTGTGTAAAGGTAAAGCAAATTGTTAATTATAAAATGCAAATGAAATATTTGAAAAGAACCAAGTGTATGTACCGCGACCTAAAAAGTTTTCACTTTGCTCCAGCTTCTCAGACAAGTCCATGATTTGGCCGGTCGTGTACTCGGTATTGGTTAGGAGACCGGAGCTGCCCAACGTATTCACCCAATACTTGTTCCACAGTGAATCGAGCAGTTTGCGATCCAAGTCTGACTTAAAATAGCTTATTTCCAGCGGATAGTATTGCTTGCAATGAACGCCAAAATCCTCAATCTTGTTTAGCGGTATCGTTTGATATTCGGATGGCTCCTCATTTGGCGGCTTGTAGCCCTTTGGATATGTGCGGAATGCACCGAGGCATACCTTGCCGGCGGAGACGGTGCGCACCGGATCCACGACAATGGCTACGAATGGCTCCTGGTAGGTCTGATTGAGCATCTGGGTGGACACATCGATGCCCGACAACCAGCAGCCGTAGCCTGGATGGCTGTGATACCAGCCAACGGCATGCTCCAACCGTCCAACTTCTTTGGCTGCCTCCATATAGGCGGTCATGTACTCATAGGCCTGTGCCTGGGCATTAACGCGCGTCTCTGTGCCCTCCACGGGCAGCGCAAATGCGTCCATCACAATCTACAATTACAATTTATTTTTATGCTGAAAGACAGCCTGAACTGGTGAATATTTGAATTACCATTGTGTTGTCCTCCACTTTGCCCAACATTAGGCCCATAATCTCCAATGTGCCACCGGAGCGGGCGTGCATGACCATCTTGAGCAGCGCGAGAGCCGAAATTTTAATGTCCTTAAAGTAATGTGGATCTTTCTCCCATGGTTTGGCGTCAATTATCTGGCGCTGTTGTTCGGCATCATAACGAAAAATATCATCGCAGCTGGGCAACGTTTGTATATTATTTTCCAGCTCCCATTTCTTTTGTGCAGCATCAACATCCATTTTATAGTTTATTTATGTGCTGCTTCTATTTTTCCGGCTCGATGATTCTTTATTATACTGCTGTTGTACTCAAAAGAGTGCACCATCATGTGGCAACGCTGTTCTCGCATTAACAGACTCCCCTTTGCGTTAACAGTGTTCATATTAGCGTTAGTTATCGATAATACTTTTTGCGTTAACAACTTATATTACTCTCGTATACACCACTTACTAAGATAAATGTTAAGAATAGCTGCACCGAACCTAGAAATTACAAGCTTTACAAATATTCAATAACTTCAAATATTTGCAAAGCCGTGTGCCATAATTCTGTAAGGGCATTTGATAGTGTACTTTCATCTGTTAAGGCGATATTGGGTGTTTTTATTTTGTCGTCTCGTGACTTTCGTCAGCTGACATTTGACTTGGTGGAAGACCTGATTAAAAAAAATGGCTCTGCATTCGGCAATCAAAGGGAAATTAATCTCTGTTATAGGAGACGAGGACACTTGTGTGGGATTTCTTCTTGGTGGTATTGGTGAAATCAATAAAAATCGTCATCCCAATTTTATGGTCGTTGATAAAAATACTGCTGTGAGCGAAATTGAAGATTGCTTTAAGCGTTTCTTAAAACGCGATGACATCGACATCATCTTGATAAATCAAACATATGCTGAACTTATTCGTCATGTAATCGATGCACATACTGCACCAGTACCAGCAGTTCTGGAAATCCCATCAAAGGATCATCCCTACGATGCCAGCAAGGACTCTATTTTACGTCGTGCTCGTGGCATGTTTAATCCCGAGGATTTGGTACGCTGATTTCTAAAATTGCTGCGCTACACATATATAAACTTGTTCAATGTTTTAAAATACCTGTATCTAAAGTTTTAAATCTTAGTTTATTGTTGTAAATTGTATATTGAATGTATTAAAGCACAGGTGAAAAATATAAAAACTTAAATTACCGAATCTTATATCTGGACATATTAGTTTGACATACATTTAAGGCATACATTTATTTATCTGTATCTAATGCTTCGACAACTAGTTTCAGAATATTTCTTTTCAATTGATCAGCTATTTGTGGTTTAAGCTGGCGCATTTGATCTGCCACAAAATCGCCAAAAATTTGGGGGGAATTATGATTAGGCTCGGGCGGAGAATCCGTTTTATCCGATTTACTTCGATCATTCAGTTCTGGCGATTTGTTCACCTCCTCTTTAGTCTTGACTCCATGCGTGGACGTGGAAAACGAACTAGAGCAGGTGTCCAAATCATCCATAAAATGCATATGGCTCTGTGAAAGGGGACGTTTGATGGATATTGTATCATTGGTGTCATTCGAGCCAAGGTTTAGCTGGAATTTAGTTAAAAACAGTTCTGCTATATAGTAGAACTTATATGCATATATGTACATGTGCTAATTTACCGCATTGCCTTTGGACTTGCGAGGCTCGCAGACTTTTTGCAGAAAACTCAAAGATTCAAAGTATTGCCATTTGACTTCGATGTTATGTTGCGCCTTGGCCTGGTAGCTTCTGTATTGGTTACGCAGATTATCCCACTTGGCCTTGCAGTCGGGCGTTGTGCGATCCAGAGTTTTGGCAATAGATTGAAATGTGCTCTCACGCAATTTGCTATCCTTGTGGTTCGATTTGCTGGGATCCCACAGGACTTTGCGCTGCTCAACCAGGTGAATTAGCAGTCGGACATCGTTTGGCAACCACTCCCGTTCGATTTTTCGTATCCTTCGCGGTCGTTTACTTTCGCTTGTCTCCTGGAGTATTTCTTCATATAGTTAAGAACAATTTCATTAAAAATAATTGTCAAATTACCCAATTCTCCATTTTTTTTATGCTTGTTATCTGGCCACAAATGTATGCCCACGCGCGATTGAACAGCGCTGCCAGACTTAATCCTGAATGCAGACATTTTTGTATGGCAACATCTGGCTAGGTAGTTGCCAGATCCGGGTTGTCAGCTAATAACAAAATCTGGTACAACTCTGCCACTTGGATATTTAATTTAATTTAAATTTAATACAAATTTGAAGCGAAATCCAATTGTTTATTTCCAATTTCCTTTGTTCATAAATTGCAACTAAACAGAATTTTATGGCCACATGCAGTTAGCAAAGCGCTGCCAGACTTGGCCCCATTCTCTGACGACGTCCGTTCGTGATGCTGGCAAATTTACGTTCATACATGTATGACAGCCGACAACGAAATATGGCACAGAATTGCCGGTTCTTGGTGCTATAAAAAATTAACAGATGGCGCCACCAACTTTACAATTCCACATATGTTTTCTTTATTTTTTTTTCATGTTTGTATACATAAATATATATATAATTAATCACATGTGCTGAATCTACATAGAAGGGAAAACTTAAGGCCAATTGTAATAATTGTACAACTGAGTACCGAACTCGCCGCTACAGAATCAAAAAATCAACCAGTAATAAATACATACACACACTTGAATTAACTTTGGCTAACTATTGCACGCCATATCGGTCCGTTGAATGGCTGAGCTCTCCCCTTCTTTCGCTCTATATTTTTTTCAATATGTTCCTAATCATACCAAGCACCAAGTGAAAGCTGGCGGAGGGGTCTTAAATTAACATTTTCGTCGTCTCTTTCAAGTTCCGTGTCTTTGTTGGGCCGCATAATAAAATATTTATCAACAACTTGGTACACATAATTGTGTTTGTTATTGAGCTGCCGCTGGCGGTTGCTCGCCAGCGTCCTGGGCTTGATTGTGCTCTGGCTCTGGCTCTGGTTCTAGCGGCTGTCCCTCGCCGCCCCACATAAAGCCGCCGGGACGATCCTCTGCGGGAGCTTGATAGTTTCGTTCAATGTGCTCGTTGAAAATTCTCTTACTGCAAAATAAAAATTAAATGAGTAAGATTTGATCTATAGGTGGCAAGACTGCAAACTATGTCCGAACTGAATCGGTTTGTAGCTTACAGAAAATATGGCGTCTTGATCAGTCGAAAGCCGTTGGACAGCTGCGGATAAACATCTTCCAACACATAGTAGATGTGGCCGACGCCCATGCCGATGATGTCCACCCAAACGGTATTGCCCAAAATCATAGAACAGCATAGCAGCACCCAAGGCAGATATGGCGCCTGTTGCACGCCGACAGCAAAATACATAATAAAATTATACAATAATTGAATGGAATTGCATTGTTTTCAAAGCACATGCCTGAAAGTTGAGCACGCCGAAAAAGTTCATGGGCACCATAGGATTTCGTCTGGACCAAACATAGACCAGCATTAACGTGAATGCCTGGCCGAGGAACAACAGGTTGACAAAGATGCCAAAGAAGGTCATTAGCACGCCGCCAAATACGAACATCATCACAAAATCGGAGCTGCGACCGCGGAATGATCCATCCTCCAGCATGCGGCAATAGCGATATGTGAATACCATATTGAAAAAGAAACTAATGCCAATGGTGCCAAAGTATAGGAATGTGGTGGCCAGACGCCAAATTTGAAATTTTCGCACTATCAATGTGGGATTAAAGTACAGCTGCAGCGGCGACACCAGATCCAAGTGCTGGCAAGAAGAGATAAAGAGATAAAAAAAAAATCAGATTCAGGGTACACGTCAGCGACGATCTACAAATTATTTGCAAAGGACTAACCACCGCAAGCGTTGTGAGCACGCAGACTGTGGTATAAGCCCGGGTGACTATGGGTATATCCATGTAGAACTGACGCAGCGCATTCATCCTGGGGCTGTTTTTGTGGGTGGGTCTGTTTTGAGGAATAGTTGAACGAGTTGCTGTTGTGCGTTTTGTGGTTGGCGCTTTGGCAGCGCAAGCGTTCACATCTGCTGCAGCTAAGCGTCCTGTCCTGGTTGATTGTGGCTTTCAGGAATTGACAGATCGACAAGCTATGGGCTCTGGAGTCTGTTTTTCAATTTATATTATTGTTTCTTTTATTTTTTATTTTTACTGCTTTGTAGCGATAGAAATAATATTGTTATCGTATATCGTTAGGTGCATATATCGCACCCACAACCTTACAGAGTGTGACCTTCCAGCAGGTGGTTATTTGCTATCGGAATTATTTAGTATATTACTCTATATTATGACATACAGCTCAATACAATTTTATTTAAAGCCACACGAATATTGTATTAGAAAATTTGCGACTAACCAAGTAACTTAAGCTTGTACAGATAATAACGCTAACATCCAAATTAAGGAATACCTCTAGTAAATTAATATCGCATATGCTAAGCACTTAAAAATATCGATAGGACTCATATCTCACTCACAAGAAATCATCGACATACCAGCGCTCATTATTCTTATCGGCTGCAAAAGTGCTGGTCGCCATTATCGATTTGTGGCAAAAAGAAAAAAATAGAGAATTAAAGATCGCGTTACAGCGTTACGCACCGGCTAAAGAGCGCATTAAACGCGACGTTAAATCGAATTGTGCAGCAGCTGCAACTGATGAACAGTTTGTGTGGCACCAGCTAGTCGTGTTTTTTTCGTTTAATATTTGCCACAACAACTAATCAATATCAATACGTCTCCCAGCCTCTGAGTGTGCGTGTGTGTGTGCGTGTACTGGCCTGTGTCACAGTGTGTGTGTGTGCTTTTTGGTCCATTCTTTGCAGCACATAATCAAATTAGATTGGAAATATAACTAGTGTAAATTAAGTGAAAACAACAAAAACAACAAAAACAGCTTCATCATGACTATGGCTGGTCAAACAATCAACGACAGGCTGTTGGCTGCCCGTCACAGCCTTGCTGGCCAAGGACTGGCCAAATCTGTGTGCAAGGCCACAACTGAAGAATGCATTGGGCCAAAGAAGAAGCATTTGGATTGTAAGTGCAATGCAAAACGAAGAAAAACCAAAAGACTTAGACTAAATATGCTAACAAAAGCGAACAAAGTTTGGAAAATAACGGTTAGCTGGCGCAGACTTGCTTGTATATGCATGAAAAAATTTGTCGTCTTGTCTAACTTTTTGCCATTCATTGAATTACACAGAGAAGCACTTCACCCTCTAACCCCTCCGCTTGGCGGCAGTTTTTTTATTGTCCATTTTTGTGGGATTTTTAACGTAACATATGTATAATATATGTGCGTGTGTGTGTGAGCGTGTGTGTGTGAGCGTGTGTGTCGTAGGGCCCAGGGCTGCGTTTTCTTCTTTTATCATGCCTGTGTCGCTATTCCAATTACTGTAAACTTTTATCATTTTGTGCATGTGTAACTGTGCTTAGTAACTCATAGCAGAAAATAAAACAGCAAACGCTCCGCTCTCCGCATTTACGCCCACTCGATATACATATATATAGCTTTTGCAATGCACCTGCTGCCTCGCCTCAGCTGCTGTTTGTGGTCTTTCCTTTTGGCTGCTTCGTCATTCGCTCTTACTGCTGTAGGCCTCTCTTTCTAATGTTACGTCACTTTCTCACGGCTGCACGTGTGTAAGATTTACAATGACAGTATGGCTGTGTGTGTGAGTGTGTAACAGCATTTGATATTATTTTTGTTGTTAAGCTATGTGCCGTTTCAACGGTGTCATTGCCTTTTAAATTTATGCACAAGTTGTGCACAACAACAACAATAAAGGCAACAACAAAAATTAGGCTCGTCTATGTTTTATATTGAATTTCTGATTGGCCAAGCAACGTGATCTTTTGTGTGTCTTCTTATTGGATTTTGGTTGACGTTTTTGCTGTTGCTGCCGTTGTCAGTGTTTGCTTTGACCTGTTTCTTATTCGAGTTTGCCGCTTTGGCACGTTTGCAACTTATGCGCGAAATGACTCATGAGAAATTTTTGTTAATATCTAGTACCGTACATAAATATGTACATACAGCACCATATACACACATGGATTCATTCGTATGCATATGTGTTTGTATGGGAATTACTTGAATCGGCCCCATAATTAGCATAGATTTGCTTGTATGCGATAATACTT